TACAGAAATGCAGAGAGGTAATACAGTGAAGTCGTTTTTTGTTGGTTTTGTTCTCGAAACGGTGTTTCTGTTTTAACTAATGTAGGTATCTTGTTTAAAATGAGTCTGCTGCTTGAAGCCCCCTGCAATTTCACATGCCTTTAGTGTGACGCGGTGAATAATGCAGGTCTTGCTCCAAACTCTGAAGTCACCAAAGGCCTGCAAAAAAAAAATTCAATAATGTCATTAATTAGAAACTGAGTGAAAAATTGCAGCATACCAGGCTTTTGAAGTGGAACCAGAATTACTTGTCTTGTGGTTGCTCTTCGGATACAGGTTTCATTTTCTTCAATTAAACCTGGCTTTGTAAGTGCGTTAATGACAGCATAACTATTTGGTTATATGTGACAGGTGAAGGTATTGATTTAATCACAAGCATGACTTTGACTTTTAAATCTTCTGGCATAAATTCAGACTGCAAAGGAAACGTGGCATCTCATGGAGGGGGGAACCCCGAGGTGTGTTGCGAGGTTTGAAGTGTTGGATCCCAAACGTTTGCACATACAAGAATGTAATCACGGCAAAAGAAATTGGAAACGTGTGAAAAAACGTGAAAATCCATAGCATAGATGTCTATAGAAGGTGATGTCTGTATCTGCAGACTTCTATGTCATAGATACAGCCGGGACAGAGATGATAGCAGCAGGATCTTCCTCTTTGATGCCTTAGTTGTCTTTGGAAAGGGACCTGCAGCCCAGATCCCTGCAGAGCCAAAGGAAGGGAAGGTGCCAGCCCCTTTCCCCGCGTAAATCAGCGTCGCTTCCTGGGCTGCTCGGGCTTGCCCCAAGTGAGGATCTGTCCTGGCAGAAGTTTAAGCTGGATTCAGGGTCCTAGGCTTGTGGTTTGGTTTTGGCACCAAGGGTGAAGGGTGCTCGTTTTGTTTGTGGGTTTGTTTTTTTTTTCTTTTTGATCAGAAGTGGAAGGCTTCAGTGGCAGTGGGGCTAAGGGTGAGATGGGGAGCCGTTAGCTGGTGTTTCTGCCAGAGTGAAAAATACCAAGGCAAAAGTAATTGGGCTGGCGAGAGCATTAGATAGACCATGAGATCTACAAACCAGATTATTTGTTTTATCTTGGTGCAGCGGTCATTCACCTGATAACATTAGTATCTCTTAAAATACAATTAACATTTTATTCCACTAAGCATCATTGTATGTTAGTGGGGCGCAGCACAGTATGTTGTAAATGCTGGGTTTGGTGCCTAGATGGCTAATTCAGTGCTAATGTCATTAGCAAAGGTTGCAGAGGAAGAATGTCCTAAAAGGTCCATTGCTCATGAAATCATCTGCTGGAGTTATTCAGATGTGACTAATGATGCGTCTTCTGCGGAAACTTTAATTTATTTATTTGGTATGTTCCCTTATTTTTCTTAAGAAATGTTACAAATGGAACAACAAAAAAAAAAGGTAGAATCAGTTTTCTGTGCTTTTCTTTGCTCCCTGATTAATTTTGGTCTCAGGAAAACAAAAAGGTACATTAGCAATTTCACGCCTTGTTACAACTTCTGTTTGCTTTCATCACACGCGTGGCTGTTTTCATGAATGGCAGACATAAACATAGATGACGTAATATCCCTCTTGGATTTTGAGTGTCTTGCTGAGAAAGTAATGCGTACGTGCAGATTACTTGTAAAGCAACATGTGAGCGAATCCACCCTCTGTAGTGTCAAGGCGGGGACTTGAACAAGACTTCTGCCTGCTTATGTAAGAAACACAGGAAAGTCCAACTTTCTGTATCTTGAATCTTAACATGAATTTATTTTTTTACATGTTGTACTCCAAATGGAAGTGCTGTGTGGCTTGACTTCTTTCTATTAAGAGGATGCTGCCCTTGCAGAAGCGGTGACCTTTGAAAAGCAAGTCTCAAGTAATCCTTTTATTTTCCTGAGATCATATAGCACAGTATCCAGTTGCAGGCTTTTAAGATGGAATGATTGCAGACTTTGTCCGTGTGCCTGGATTGGATTACGGTTTGTTTGACAAAGAAAACTCTAAAATACTTATACCTTCCTTCCTTCAGTTCAGGGCATCGTAATCTCTGTGTGTTGAGGATGCAGAGTAGTTGCCGTATCATCCCAGCACCACTGGGATTTATTGAATTTACTTAATTGGCCTTTATCTCATGGTTACACTTTAACGCTTCTTTTGAAGGAGATTCAAAAAGGATGCAGTTACTCCTTTCCTAATTTACTTTGAGAGTTGGGTTACTCATTTTCTTATCTTCCCTCCTTTTCTGGGTTGAGCGGAGCATTCTGCAGAGCCATGATTGAACGTGTTGGAGACTTGCACGGCAAGAGATTTAAGTCCGTGAAGCTGTTAACTAGCCAAGCTTTTTACAGACTGCTTTTTAAAGAGGATGCTCTGGTTGAGGGGAGTCGGGAGTTTTGACGGGCACTTTTGGATGGCTGGTCTTGCATTTTGTGTTGTGCTGTGCTGATGCACGTGAAGGAGAGCTAAACTCCCCGAACCTCCCAGGGAAAGATTTTGTGGCAGAGTTCAGGAGCAATTGCATCATTCTCTTGTTTTTAAAGCCTCAGTCTTATAAACACTCCAGGAAGCCTCAATAAAGTGGATGAAAAGTCTATTATTTGGTCAGGCGATCTTGACACCGAGGATTGCATGGTTTTTACCTTCCGGAGAGGCGTTCGATACCAGGGAGGGCTGAGGTCTCCCCACGCTGCACTTCTCAAGTTTACTTTTGCTAATAGGAGTTTAAAAAGGTTTAACGTTCAGCTCCGACTTTCTCCATCCTGCCAGACCTCCTCTGCCAGCCTGGGATAGGCGTTGCAGGGATTTGGGGGCATTGGAGAGCAGTCCCAGAGGGGCATGAGTCCCTTGTTCTGGGTACTTTGGTGTCTCCATCCCCTATGTATAGCATCTGAGTGGCTCACCAGAAGAAGTGATCAGTGTCATCCATTTAACTAGGGCTGTAGAATCGCCTGTTATTTGGTGGACACCACCCCACAGTGAGACCTGTTTTCTGATGCCTCTGAAAACTATGTAGTAGCTCCCTTTGCATTAGAAGGGAAGTTCATCCTATTTTAACAGAGTTCACTACTTGCTGTGTCTTCTCTGGGCTAACACATCTGATCATACACGTGTATGCGGACTGTGTATCTCACATGCGCAGCTCAACTTGCCGTACACGTGCATGCACCATGCATATTTAGGCACCTGGATTAATAAATAGAATGCCCTATACCAGATTAGCAATTTGAGTCTAGGTTGTTATTCGTCTTCACGTAGCCCTAAAAAATAGTGGAGGACATGGGCCGAGGGTAAGGTCACTTTTGCGGATGAAAAATTGTTGCTGATCACCGTGGGATGCCTGCATAAATAACATGGTCATCATTCAAATCAAGGTGGTTTTTACTTGCTCAGTGGAGCAGTTGTGAGCACAGTGGTGGATGCACAGCTCAAAAGCGAGCGTTGCCCGTGCAGCTTGATGCCAGCTCTCCAGCAGAAAACAATATGGAAATGGCCAACACCTTTCGGGATCCTCCAGGAGCCAAGTAGGGGAGAGATTAGTAAACAGGAGTGAGAAAAACAGGGGCTGAAAAGAGACTGAGATGCGGGAGCTTGCTTTAAAAGAGAAGGCTTGCTGCTAGCCTTCAGCCCAGGGATAATTGTCTGGAGCTCTTCCCTTAGTCTTTTTGGCTGAAGATCAGATGTGGCAAAATGAATTTGTTTGTTGTCTTTATTCTACTGAATGGATTAGGGTTTTTTAGTTTTATGGTAATTAGCTAGTTCTACATAAGGAAGTTGTTTTGTTTTGTTTTGTTTTTTTATAGTTCCAAATACATTTTGGAAGCTCAGATGAGGTCATTTGCTACTGCTCTTTGTGCTCAGGCCCCCATACGGCCGCAAAGGTCTTTGCCGTGGGTCTCCAGCCGCGCCGTAATCCTTGCCGAGAGCTGGCCTGTCCGGAGGGTGACCCGAAAGCCCTCGGCCAGGCGTGGGCTGGTTTTTCCTCTGGAGAAGCTGCTCTTAGCCCTGTAAATTAGAGACTATGACTTTCTCCCATCCCCTTTTCTTTTCACTCAGTGTTGTTTCCTAATCTCTGGCATGAAATACCTGGGGTGTTAGAGTTGCATTGCCCATAGCGACTTTTGGTAGGGAGCTGGCAGGGGTGGTAACAACCACAACTTGAGAAGTCTCTGCAGATGCCGGACTGAAAACAAAAGGATCAAGCCTGTTTGTGATGCACACGCGTGCTGCAAAGGGCAGATAACCTTTCAGGGCTGCCTCTTAAAATAGTAAGCAGAGCTGGAATAGCTGCTTTCGTGCTGCGGCTTCCCCAAGCGCGCCACAAACTTCCAAACCGTGATTGCCATTAAAATCTTTACAGTTGCCATTTGCAAGGAATTAGCATCGCTGTGCAAGCTGTAACCCCCCCCCCCCAGCGATATTTATAGCGAGCAATTGAATTATAAGGGTTGTAATGGCCTTGCTGCCCGCTTCCTTGCTTCTGGAAGGAGGGGGCTGAAAGGTGCCTGGGCTTTAGCTAGTGTACAAGCCAAAAAATAAATAGTTAAGGAGCCCACGTCATCTAAGGGCTTCTGAAAAATACACACCTTCAAAGAGGCTGAAGGAAAGCAATATGTAATCAATATGTAATTCTGATAGCGTAGCCCCCTGACACATTTGAAAAGGCGAGGTGTGGGGTTGATGGGTTTGAAAAGTGCTTGAAAAGAGAAGGTGGATGTGTAAGCTGCTGCTGGTAGTTCATGTTCTTACTTTGCTCGGGTGGGTGATGCTGGTCACATCCTCAGCTGCTGAAAATCTGTGCGAGTCCAGTTGTTAAAAATGGGCAAATTCCACCGAGGTGAAAGCAGACCCCGCTGATCTGCGGTAGCTGGGGGTCACCTTGCGTTTGAGGATGCGCTGACGAGGTTGACTTTGGCAGGGGCAGACCCTCTTACTAACCATGGTTTTTGTCTCTTCTGTTTTTCTCCTGTCTTACAGCACCTTCTCCAGTCAGTAGTGTGAAAAAAGGGAAGATAACTAAAAATAGCATCTCCCTTTCCTGGCAGGAGCCAGATCGACCCAACGGCATCATCCTGGAATACGAAATCAAATATTTTGAAAAGGTGTGACGGACTGATTGCTGAGCATCCCAAGTACCTTCTCTTTACTGTCCTCTTCTTTTAGTTATAATTATTTGAGTCGTGCAAGGGAATGGAGTGATTTTATGCGTAAATCAATGTCAGATTGATTTTGCAGTAAATGATTAGGAAGACTTGAAATGAGGGTGTTGTTTTCCATTAGTGTGCCACTTCTCTTGAACAAATACATTAAATCTGCGTGTCAGATTCCTCTCCGACCTTATCACATTAAGATAGAGCCTGCTCATTTGTTAAAAATAGGAGGGGTTGGGAATCGAGCGTCTGTCGCCTTCCGGAAACATCAGGCTATCCCTTGTCTTTGGTATTTCAATTTCTCACTTGATTTTGCATCCACGGTGTAAGGAGAGGAAAAGGGTTTTGTGGAGAGATTGTATCTGCTCTGATGTGAAGAAGAGCATCCTGGCTTAAAAGCGTGCCTGGGTTTTCCAGCTCTTGGTCTTGGTCTAATGGAAAACGCTCTCTCTTCCTACAAAGCTTACCTCTCCTGGTCTTCATTTCAAATGGTGACTCTTCCTGCAAAAGTAATGCAGTTTAAATGAAAACAGTAACCAATGCACTTTATCTAAATAGCATCTTTTGAGCGATGCAGCCTTCGATCTTTGGAAATCTTAGATTTCCAAAAATCAGGTTTGCAAGAGTTGACAGAGTAGCAGTTTCTTGCCTTAGCCGGGATTGTGAGATGTTCTTATTTCTTGTGAAACAGCCAGGCTTTCTACATGAAAACAAGAGGAAAATCATGAAATGGAGTCACAATTCACTTTTGGGGGGGCTGAATTTCTGTTTTAAGGAAGATCTTCCATTAGTTGTGTCTATGACCCAGGTGAAACCACTCAACGTGGACCAGGACTGGGTCCTTACCCCTGCTCTCTCTGACCATGGGAGGGACCTGCTCAAGCCCCTGCCAACAGGGGAAACAATTCCAGAAATCTTCTGCATCAGGATAAAATCAACATTATTTTTGCAGATGAGGGAGCTTGGGCAAGGGCATAAGATGCGTGAGTGGCTTAAATCGGGCTGAGGTTTTCAAAAAGATGAAAGCACAAAGCCAGAGTCAGGATATGCCATCGCTGGAAATAATCCATTACCGATTCTTTCAGTAACTTGTTTGAATGACCGTTGTAGCACATTGAATCCTTACTGTGGAGAGGCCTGGGAAGATTAACCTCTAGAAACTTTGATAATGAGCAAAGAATTAAAGCCAAAAAAATCCGTCTATTTCTGTGTTTTACTTTGTTTTCAAACAGATCAGGGCGAGGAGGGGCTTAAAATGTTGTATTTGTGGTCCAGAACTAGTCTCAAATAGCTTCAGTAAATAGTTCTTCAAGTGCGAGTCCTTCACGGGGAGGTAGCTTCAGCCAGTCCGAGTTTATGTTGTCTTGATTTATTTCTTCCAGGCTGATAGCAAAGCTTAGTGTTTTCCATAGGAAAGCTCAATTATTTAAATATTTGCAGAAGCCAACAGCGTATTGACAACCTAACAGGGCTGACGTACAAGCAAAGATGTGACCTAATGTTCACTTACTACTTTTTAACCAGTCATTGAGTTAGATTTGGGATGTCGTCCTTAATCCTTCTTGTTTGTCATTTGTCATTTCTATTCTCTCAGTTTTCAGCCTTTTATAAGGGTAAATTCACAGCGTTCATTTCCAAGGGGTGAGAATGATTTATATTAAACGTTTTGGAAAATTGAGTTTTGTCAGATCGCATTCCTTTAAGAGAAATCACTCCTTAACAAGAAAAAAAAAAAAAAAAAAGGCTTACATATAGAGAGATATATATCTCTCCAGACACGCATTTCTCCAAAACAGTCTTGTGTAGCTACAGACTTCAATGAGAAAATCTGTAATCCTATGTTTGGAGATTCCCAGGGCCTTCTCCAGGCATATTGCTGTCTATGGAAAGTTGCCCGCTAAATTAAAAAGAAGAAGGAAAAGTCAGTTCAGATCCTAAGAGCTATGCAGAAATCTTGGTGGGGAATTATGAATAACTCCTGTTTACCTCATAATAATTTGGATCTGAGAGGATATGGTGAATAAAAAGCAGTTTCCAATTTTGTAGACTTTAATTTATGAGCTCTTGTCTAGATTATGTGGTACAGTAAATAATTGTAAGAGTAATTACCAAGCATTTGAGCAAAACTTTAATCAAAGAACTGAAACTCTTTCGCATTAGAAACTGATGTAAATGAAGATTTATTTCAGCAATTTTTCTTCAAGTTCGTTGCTTCAGAAGAACAATGCAAAATTAGGTATTTTCCTGGAGTTTTGGTTTACTGTTCTCTTCCCAAGGTCTAATTCATGGTTCTAGAAATACCAGCATAAAGTTGTACAATGTATAATGTGTTATTCTCTTTTAGGCCTAATTACGTTATTGGAAAGTCATTTTGGTATAAATTAAAATCCCTTTCTAAGGCGATGGGACTTCTTTCCTCTTCCCCATGCCTTGGGATTGATCTTTGTAGGGTGAACCTTGGCATTGCCTCATGCCTGTACATCCCAAGGAATGGAAAGCTGCTCTTTCTGTGGATACCGATTTGGTCCCCATATTGTCATTTATGGGTGGAAAGTCCCTCTGCTCTGTTCCATACCTCCTAGAGTCACTGATGATAAAAGAGAAAATCAGATCTCATGTTTTGTACGGCAGAAGGGGCCTTCAAATGGGGAGGTTTTGAGGAAAAGATCCTCAAAAATGTGTATTTCGGTCATCCTTTGTAACATTGCTGGGGGGGATGTTTAGAGTCTGTCTTCTCTGAAAGCCATTTTTCTGTGTTTGAACTGTGTTTTTCTGGGGGGGGGGTTGGGAAAAGGACCAGGAGACGAGCTACACCATCATCAAATCCAAAGAGACGACGATTACAGCAGATGGCTTGAAACCAGGTTCGACGTACGTCTTCCAGATCCGAGCCCGGACGGCTGCTGGCTACGGTGGCTTCAGCCGAAGATTTGAGTTTGAAACCAGCCCAGTGTGTAAGTCTTTTAATTACTTACCAGCCCGTGTCTCTGGAACGGTTACCAGACATGAGTCAGGGGATCGATACCTTTGCAGAGAGCTCTTCCTTCTCCTGACGTCATCCCTTGACTTTGGAAACGTCAGGCACACCTTGCGCTAAACAGGCTAAGACATCTGTCCTTGCTGCCTCGACTCGCCTGGTGAGGTGAAGTCAGGAGGTCTTCAGGCTCCAGAAATTCGTAGTGTTCCCTGCTTAGAAAAATCCGGTATTTATGAGAGCTTGATGCAAGAGAGGACAAGGGCTCTCCTCTCAGGAGGGGCAGAGGGGATGGGACCTGCCTCTCCACACCTCTTAATGGCTGTCTGCAGAGGATGCTGAGCTCTCTTTAAATATTGGCACCTGGAGAAAAAAAACCCTGAAATGGTACCTCTCTGCAAGGGGAAGAATTGAACCAGCGTTAGCATCTTTTGGTGTCAGTTCCTGTCAAGTTGAAAGATGGTTTCTTTTGGCTGCCAATGCCACAGCCTTGAGGAAAGGAATTTGACTTGTGATCAAAAATGGGGGAAAATGTGCACTGCAGGCACAAGACTTTTGCTTGCCTGTTACAAATTTGTGGGGGTTGAAATTTTTTTCTTCTTCCTTTTTTTTTATTTAATGAATCAGATCATCCAGGTCTGGATTCTGGAGGCGATTGTGTGGCAGGGTGAAGTCCCGAGGCAAGCAGAGGCTCAGCTGCTCTTTCCCCTGTGTTCAGGCACAGCTGTGGGGAAATTCTTTTTGTCCCGATGACCAAAGTTTTGCAGAGGAGTCAAAGATAATTTTCTCCCTTAGAAAATACGTCCTATCTATTTGAATTTGTACAACTGCCATTTATTAATTTTTTTTTATATTGCTTGCATGGAAGAGAAATTTTGTGGTGGAAATACTCTGTTCATGCCTGTGGGAAAGAGCCTATTTTCTGTATGTTTTCCTTGGAAATTTAAATTCGTCGATACTTTGATTCCTGTTACTCCAGTTCATTTAAAATTCGTTGACTTTGAGAAGAAGATGCCAAGTTGTCTTTTCAATGCATCCTACCTTTGAAACCATAATAGATTTGAAAGGAATCGCTGTACATGTGCAGATGTAGCTGTGGAGCCAGCGATTGAACTAACACAGTGCAAATTGCATCACGATGCAAACGTTAATGCAAGAATGGTCTATTTAATGTAGTTCTTATTGTATTAACCATTAATCGGGCCCTATAAGTAGCAACAAAATCATGTTATGCCGAAAATTACTCTATATTATACTGAAGAAATTTTGCCTTCAGTTGGAAAGTTTCTAGTTGAGAGTCATTTGGGTAATAGTGTTCCAGACTATTAATAATTGATACAAGAAATAGATGCACATTTGATCCGGTGCTGTCAGCACCTACGATCCTGATCCAAAAATAACAGCATTCCCATGAAGCCCATCGTGTAAGTATCTGTGTTAATCAAGATTTTTTTGAGGACATCACCTGGTAATGTCTTTAAACACTTTAAACCCCTTGAATCATTTAGTCACACCTGCACCCCAGTGTTTTTAGCATTTTAAAGGCAGAGGAGTAGGTACTTCTCTGATACTAAGGAGCTGCTGGTGTGGTGGGGGGAATACCTACTCCGTGGTGCCCAGTCTGGGAGCTGGGACCTGTTGCTCTCTTGGACTTGAACTCTGGCTGAAGCAGGACTTCACCAGATGTTTAAACGCTTGGTAGAATTGAAATGCAACATAAGCCTCAGTATCTTGCAAAATGCAGCTCTGGTTGACATTTAAAACCTTTTAAAAAGTGAATTTATTTATTTTTTTTTCCTTCCAAGGCCCTATATAAAGTCAATGTTAGTGCCAGGAGTCTGACCAGACTCCACTGCTTTCCTGCACATCCCGAAGAATCTGAAAGCAAGGAGAGATCGAGATCTCACTGCTATGTCAGAGTTCAGATCTGAGCCTCTTGTTAGAGCCAAAGCAAATTATTTTGATTCAAGCAGAAATAAAAACCTTTCAGTGACTGTTGTGAGAATCAAAAACAGCCTCCGAAGTCATTTGGACCAAACAACAGGTTGTTTCCAGTTTGCAAGCTTTCTGTAAAGTTGTTTTTAATACACTTGGAGGAAAAATTAAACAACAGTGAAAAATGCAATGAGAGGGGAGCTGTAACTTGCTTTGGACTTTTCTCTTTTCCAAATTTTGAGTTTTTTTTTCCATACTGCTGCCTGCATGTGCAATTCTGCAAAGCGCCACGAATGCAGCCAGGGCTGCATTTTTCATCAGAAGTTTTGTATTTGAGTGGGAGCTGTTGCTGGGTGTATCCACTTGCTGCTGTCCTCCTTTCCGAATGCCACCGAGCTCGTCTAGCCCTGATAACACTTAACCTTGCCAAAAGCTGGTTTTTGGCTGGATTGATGAGCTAGCCCAGCTGGTCACCCAGGCGGGAGTGGGGATGTGTCGGCAAGTTGAGGAGGGGTAATGCAGGTCCCCCCTCGGCTTGAAATGGCAGCAAGGTCCCGGCTTGGCTTATGAATTCAGCCTTTTTAGCTGCCACAGACCACAGCAGGATTTATCTCATTTCCCCATCCCTCGAGCTGTGCAAAAAAGCACCAGTCACAGCGTAATGTTCTCCTTTAAATGTTTTTCTTTTTAATTATTTTGTCAAGCAAGCAATAAAACATCATCTTAAGGAGCCTCCATAAATTCGTAAGGCAATAAAATCTCGGGATGATGGCACGGGTTTGGAGCAGTTCACATGAAATATTTAACATATCGCGGCCAATCCTTCTGAAGTCATTTACGTTGTAGCGGGTCCGCACCGCTCACCGTGGAGCGCCGGAGAGCTCCCGTGTGAAGAACTACTTGAAACTCATTGCAGATCAATGTTTAATACCATACCTTTTCGTCTTTCTTTTCTTTTATCAATTAATATGGGACTATATGCAGTTATTTTATAGCCCTCATAAAGTTAATCCTGTGCTAAGGACCCTTTTTTTACTTCAGTCATTTAGTTAAAGGCTTCTTTGGTGTGCAGTCGATTCCTGCGGCTCGCCGGGGTGGATGAGGCTTCAGCTGGGGCTGGTACGAGGGTAGGAGCTGCAATCAGGTTTTTTTCCCCACACACCGCCAACGCCTACACCGGGGGGCTGGTTTTGGGGGGAGAAAATCAGATTTGTGCCCTGGGGTGGTTAAATATATGCAGCTAAATAAGCTGGCAGCGGAGAGGGGAGGAAGCTTTGATTTCTGCTTGGGGGACCCCTGGGGAGAGATGGGCTCCTTCGCCTGCGGTGCAAAGGGGATCAACCAGGTACCAGGGATGGTAGCGTTTCCATTGTACGGGCTGCAGGAGCTCGCTCACTTGCTCTTACCTAACCTGTAGTTCCCAAACAGCTTCCCTGCCCTTTCTGCTGGACTTGTCCCGTGTCTTTTGGCAGGAGGGTTCTTCACAAGGCACGGGCTGAGAGAGTTCTGCTTCCCTTGGCCGATAAAGAGACCGAGCAGTGTGTGGTTCTTAGCAAATTCCTCTTTTACAGAGGGGCACCTTCTGGCCACGTGATATAAACGCCACAAGGAATTAGTTTTTTATTGTTTATAGCATCTTGAAGGGCAAGTAATGCTGTTCATCTCAGAGGTCTTGCTTATGTCTCTTAACAATAACTTTCCATGAATGTTCTCTCTGCAAATGGGAACCCGTTGGGGTCTTGTCTTTTACCTCTGCCCTTTCTAATGCAGCTCGCCCAGGAAGACAAACTTAAATGTGCAAACTCAAAGGCTGCGTTCTGCAACGCTTTGGTTTCCAAATTCAGCGATGAGATGGGATTTTGTTGAGTTTTTGGCTTGGTTTTGTATGCGTCTTTGGTTTCTTTCCACCCATTTCCTTTCCAAACTAGAAACAGACAGCAAAGGGGGGGAAAACACAAACCGTAAAAGAAGACACGAACTGGTAAGACTTGAAACCTGGCCAGCAGCCTCACTAGAAAGACTCATGTGAGTGCTGACTCTCATTTTAACCTTAATCTCCATTTTCTGTTTCTCATCTCAGCAGTAGCTGCATCCAGCGACCAGAGCCAGATTCCTATAATTGTTGTGTCTGTAACAGTGGGAGTCATTCTGCTGGCTGTTGTTATCGGTTTCCTTCTCAGCGGAAGGTAAGAGAAGAAGCTGTGTATTTCTACTTCTCCAACTTTTGTAATAACTTTTATCTGACCGGCTGATTAGTGCGATTTAGGCGAAAGCAGCATGTGAACGAAGCTGTCGAGCGGGAACGCTGTAAAACAGCACGAGGGTGGGCTGATTGATCTGTTCGGACAGGCAGGAATGGCAAAGGCTCGCTCACAGATGTAGCTCACTTCCCAATGATTTTCATCTCTGTATAGACTGGCCCTGATTATTCGACTTGATTCTCACAAGAGTGTTTTCATGTTCTTTAAAAATAAGCAGAATATGTTATTCCGGGTACAATATCCTGAAGCCCGTATGTTTGGACACGGAGCTCGCAGTGGGCTTTGCTCACGGAGCGTACTTGACTTCAGGAAAACACTTGCAAAGAAAAAGAGAAAAAACCCAGCCAAATGGCCAAACGCCCCAAGTTTTGGTCAGGTCTGGATTTCATTTTTCACATGTAGGACACTAATGTGTTCCCCACGCGCTAGTAAATTATACAGAGAGCTTCCCCCACGGAGGGAGACCCTCAGCTTCAAACCATCAAGCGATCCCACTGACTTCTCATGTGCTTAAACATAGGCAAGTGATGAAAGCCTGGGCTGTCCCAACTTTGACAGCTCTAATGGAAGTGGATGGAACTTGTTGGCGAACAAGGGATTGTGGTATCGGGGGAAAATCTGGCTTGTATCAGGATCAGTTTGTACCGCAGCATTAAATTTGTGTAGCAGCCAGCACAAAGGCACGTTTTTCATATACTACACGTGTATTAGTACTTTTTTTTCTTTTTGGTGGCAATAGTCAAATGATGCAACATCCTTCATGCAGAACAATGTGAGGTGCATCTATCGATAAGGCTGAATTTGTTCTCAGTGCAAAGCAAACATTTACGCTTCTAAGGTAGCCGTCAGCCCACTGTTGTTTTCACGATACAGACATCTGCCTTAAGCTCAGGTCTAGCAAGGTGGCTGTAAATTACAGGATAGTGTAAGTGTTATGAGTAGTTACAAGATACTTGCAGAGGGACTGCGCTGTTACTGAACATATTAGCCGAGGGTCTTATTTCCCAGAGGAGGTGGGGTATCAGTCTGTGAACGCGAGGCGGTGAAATCCAGGCAGGCTGAGCAGCTCTGTCCCCAGGCATGAGGCATCCGTGGAAGGACACGGTTATTCCCTGTCTTAAAAGGTAAGTGTGCTGCCAGACTCATCTCCACTCAAGGTCAGAGACTGACAGTCTCTTCCAGCTCAGCCGTTCGAGCTCCTGTCGTCCGCTTTGAGTGACTTGTTGGCCTTAAAAATGGGAAAGTAAATGCTCCTGCCTGCACGAGAAGCGTGCAGCGGCGTGGGGGGTGAATGGCTACGGGCCATTCACACCAGGGGCTGCAGGAAAGCCGTAGCCAAAAAGCCTTGGCTCTGAACACTGTAGGCAGGAGTTCAAGTCTCTCCTTAAAGGCTGGATGTTTTGAGTCAAATCCTTTCTCGAATGGAGCGGGGGGATGTGGACCTTGGTCTCCCCCAGCCTGGATGCCTGCTTGTATCAGTGCAAACAGGAGGATGCACGCGTGGCCGTAGGGAAGCTATGGATGTCGCCCGGCACCTCTGCAAGGAGGAGTCTGGAGGGGGGTGAATCGCAGGTGGAGGGACGTATATCCCTCTGTGGCCATAAAGAATCGCAACTGTGCAGCAACCGGCAGCTCTTGCTCTTCCAACAGTCACTGGCAAGTGCTGGGGACCACTTTGGGGAGGACTTGCTCCTGCAGGTCTCCTTATTGCTGCTACCCTCTTGGGTCTGAGCAAGCACTTCCGAAGCCCGAGCCATTTGTCAGCAATTCTCGTGTCTTTCTGTTCTTTGCCCTAATGGGCTTTCCAGGATGTGCTTCCTCTTGGCTCTTTGACTCTTGGGATGTTTATAAAAGCCCTTGTCTCCTTTGGCTAGAGTTTTATTGCTGCCACCTTAATCCTCCTACCTTGTACTCATGCCTCTCTCTGTGGACCCCAGGGCAGTTGCAGGTTCCTGGGAACTTCTCCATGGTGTCACACTAGATGTATGGGAAGGGGCAGGCACAGGGAGCTGAGCTCTTGGTCCATTTTTATCTTTTTAACCCTTGCCCTAAACTGGGAAGAATCCAGTCTCTCAGGTGGAGGTGATGGAGAAGCCTCTGGCACCAAGGTTTGGTCCATCGTTAGAGAATTGGCTTCAAAACCACAGAATTTCTGGGGTGCTTTGAGTTCCTGTGAATTTTAAAGCCTATCTAGTGCTTTGGGTGACTCGTGAGAACAGAAAAATAAACCCCAGAAGCCCAGAAAGCTGACAGCCAATTTGAAATTAAAACAAAGCGAAACAAAAAAATGGCTCCTGTTTGGAAGAAGCAGAGAAGCTGCTGAAATGTGTCACTCACGCTGCTTTGCCTTGGATATGATTTCGAGACAATTCATGGAGTGACTCTCCTGCTGTGACACTGCGGGGACGATAAATGCATTCCAAGTCATAGGATAATCCTTTTCTGAAGCTGTTAACCTGTTTCTGGAAGATGCTTTCCTGGAGCTTTGGCATGGTGATGTTGTTCCAGTGCCTGGTTCCAGGGGGGTTAAATTTCCTTTCTTAATTCTTTCCTGTACTTGCTTTTAGAAGAACAGACATTTTGAACTCCAGGAGTTGCTCCAGCTGGAATCACCACTGCTTTCCACGCCAAGCAAGCTGTACAAAGCCCAAACTCTTGTCTTTTCTGCTAATGTAGGAGAGCAGGTACTGCCCAGCAGCAAAGCTACGGAGAAAAACCGCCTTGCTCTGCGGCTCCGAGGATGTAGCCTGACCAGCTCCTGCAAACCAGCTCCTCGGTGCTGGCTCCGTGCTGTTCCCAGGCTCCCTGGAAGGCCCTGGGCACCTCAGAATGAGGATGTTCCTCCTTCGGATGCTGGATGGCATCTCTTTGTGCCTGTCATCCCAAGTGCTGGGCTGAAAGGGGCTTGAGAGCAGTCTTGCAGTGAGAAGGGGATCTCCTCCTCCTCTTGGCAGCTCGGAAAGTAGTTTCCCAGCCATAGGACTCAGGAGTTTGCTGGGCTCTGCGGTCTATTTATTTATTTTCTGCTAGGTCCTCGGAGGCAGAAGTTTCCACACCTCTTCCCCTTCTTTGGCTTTCAAGTATCTCTGCAGTTTTCTTGCTTTTTTTAAACGAGCGTAAGTAACAGCTTGGCATTTCCCATTGGCAGCTGGCCCTAAACCAAAGGTCAGCTGAACGGTAGTCACGCTGGCATTTCCACATGCCAGCGTCCATCTGTGGAAACGCGCTTTGTGTCTGAAGCTGGACATTCCTGGGAATTTGAAACTAAATACGCTTTGCCCTCAACAATTAAGCTGCGTTTCAGAGCTGATTTACTTGCAGATGCTCCAGAAAACTCTTCCTGTAAGTAATGCGTCCTCTGACCAAGGTCATAAATGCCAAGCGAAATATCTGATCACTTTTTTAAGTTATCCCCCTCTTTGCATCAAGGGCATATTAATAATATAACAATCAGGATTACAAATCAAAGAGATTCACTAAATCAGACTGTAGTTGTCTCAGCAAAAAAAGAGAAGTGTATTGAAAATCTATTATTAAACCAGCTACAAACATTGAATTAAAGAACACAGAGTTGTTATTATCTTTGTTTTGTTAGGATTATGTGTTCTTCTCGAAAGCGCAATGCATTTTACAGATAGAGCAAGGCTGTAAATTTTGCTTTCCGAGCAATGCTTGAATTAGACACCGCTTGGCATCGTTGTTCCTGATTGAAGTATATATTAATCTAAGATCGTTACAGACTTTTATTTTACAGTCTGTACCGGACAATGCCAGTCACAAAGATCTTTGCAAGGAGCAATGAGGTGCCGCAGTCGTCGTTGTGGCGTCAGCCTCTTTCTTCTTACAGACCGAGGTAGGAAACCAGGTTTGCATCAGCCTGGGAAGGAGACCCCCTGCTCCAGAGCATTTCCCCCTCTTTTGTCCTTCAGACCAAGCCCTGTTTGCAAAACTGACGGGATCTTAGGGTGAAAGTTAAGAGACCACTGATCCCTCCGCTCCCCCAAGCATTTGAGCTTTGTAACGCTAAACAAAGGCATGGGCTTTTACGGAGTGAAATGGGGATGCTATTAGGTTGATGCTGTGCATGTTTGCAAAAACTGCTCAAAATAACTAAGAAGTATAGTGTGCACCTGCATTTATAGCCAACTACCCATTACGGATGACCTTTCCATCTCAAGTGATCTTGCAAAGAACCGGAGGGAGCTTTTTATAGAACTTAAGGGAAAAAAAAACAGATTTGAAGCAACAAAAAAACTGCCCCTCGCCCCTGTGTCGGGCATGTATAGAAAGTCTCTTTCTGGCAAGGAGCTCGCCTTCGAAAGACAAAGCAAAGACAAATCTTGCCACCTGGGTATTGGCAATTAGAGGCTTCTGCACCAGAGTATGCGTCCTTGACCTTAGCTGATTTAGACTTTTAAATATCAGCCCCCTGTGGTGGCAGAGGGCTACTTTCTGGACACAAATATGTGCATCTTGTTAAAAAGTGACTTTCAGGGAGTAGAGAGGGTGAAAGGATTGTGGTGTATATCCTAGGTCCTGAGCCAGCATTTGCAACCTTCCGTGATGTGGAAGGTCAAAATGAATTTTTCCACAGCCTCCCCCCCCCATCCTATTTTCCAAGATGTGTCAGGGCTTAAAATAGTTCGCTTTTGCGATATTTCCGTAGGAAATGGGAGACAGTTTGTAGATAACGTTTTTCATAGAGAATTTTTCCAGCATGAGTCACAATTTTTGTTGGTTGCAACTTTCTAAAGGATTTTTATCTCTGCATTCTTGCCTGCTCTTCCTTCTTCCTACAGGACGTTGTCTCCCGTGATTTATAGCCACTTTATGATGCTGTCTACTGCCAAATATTCCCTGCAATTCACCTGACAAGAGGAAGGATTTTGTCGGAGAAGCTAGTGCTCTGCCAAGTCAAAATTCCCATCCACCAAGAGCAGGCAGGGTCTGGTCCAGCTTCTGTTCAGGTCAAGGTTTTTACTACCTCAGTCGTGTTAAGAGCCTCTTTGCTCTTTGGCAGTAGATTTTCCCAGAGAGGAATGTTAGCAGCATTGGCATACAGGATCCCTCTCTGAAAAACCGAGTGCTCCGGAGCATCCTTCCATGCAGGGTGAAGCCTTCCCAGGGCCGATGTGGAAATCTGCTGCCCGTATCCCCCATCTCTAGCATCCTGCCTAGATCAGCTTGGCAAATTTGGCTGCTCCAACACCTTTTTTCCTGTTTTTATTCTAAACACAGTTTGGCTTAGTACTTCTGTGCCAGTGCACCGGGCTCCACAAGCCACTCTGAGCTGCTGCAGTTTTGAGGAGGGTTTAGGGACCTAGGCTAAGCTGCCTTCAGATGACTTTGGCCCAGACAGCAGGTGAGTGTTGACCAAATCTGTAATTAAGCTCCAAGCCCATGAGACATTGCCCTTGAAAGCATTGTTTCTGAGTTATTTTAGCAGCAGCCAAGGGAACAGGGCAGGAGGACCGTCACGGACAGAGGAGCGGCTGGCGTAGGCGTTGTCTGAGCCGGGGAAGCGTAGGGCAGTGCGGCAGTCAGGGATGAAAGCACCTCGCCTGCATTCGGATGATGCGTTTGATGGCATTGTGCAAGTCCTGTTTCCACATTGAGAAGGGAACTGGGCTGCCCTTCAAGCTGAAAACGGAGCCCGACTTCAGCGGTAGGAGCTCCAGGCTCTTGCTGAGCGCTGGTGAAAGCCCCGTGTGTACGTTAAGTGTTTTAACGTGGGGTTTTGCAGTGTCTTCTCTTGGCTGTGGAGCGGGAGGAGGATGAAGAAGCGAATCAGACTGTCGTCCCTTTGCACTTCTGAATGTATGGATGCTTCACCTTGCTTTGGATGCTAGAAATGGGAAGCGTGACCGCTCCTGGGGACACACCATGTTGTGGCACTTGGCCTTTTACCTAGAAAAAAAGTCTATCTGTACTTTCTTACAGCCAAGTATAATGCCAAAAGTCTTGCCAAGTGCAGTACCTTTCCCTGGAAGCATTGCTTTCCTTCTCCGTAGTGATGGCACAGATATCGTCTGCTTGGGCTTCTGCATTCTCAGTTACTCTCAAACAGCGCAGAGACGTGCTTTAACACGTGAACGAGGTGTGGCTCCGCGGGAAGAGGAGGTGACTCCTTAAACATTCCTGTAGTGCTGGGCAAGGCAGGAGTATATTCCTAGCAGCTCACAGTGTGCCATGCTGCTCCTCTGAAGTTTGAAGGAAGCGTGTTGACTCCCGAGGTGCTAGGTGTAGTCCTGGCCTCCTGACTTGGACGTGCAGGAGGCAGTCATTGCCATTGCACACGGCTGCGTGAAGGATTAGAAACATCTTCCCAGGCACCCTCAAGTATTTCAGTCTCTAATTGCAAGCCTCTGAAGAACATCCCATTATAGCAGCTTATTAAAAGCAACAAACGAGGCTTTCATTTATCATGACTCCAAGTCTTCAACTTAGAACTCTTAAAAGCCGCAGCTATATACGGCAGAGCCTCTCTCAGATCTATCTAGCCACTAGAAATGTAGTTTAATTCCAAATGCTCTCTGGGTCATCTGCAGACTTGTGGTAAATTAATTACATTGATTGCAGGCACAGTTGTTGGAGCTCATCATATATATACATTTCATTAGCAAAGCATGTAGCCCAGGGTTTGAAACGATGCCAAGGGTGTTGATAAGTCCTCCTAGCACAGGTTTATTAAAATTTGCTCTCTGGACAGTTGGGTTTGCAAAAGCACATAGGCATTGCAGGGGTCACCTTTGCTTAGAACTGAAGGAGTGTCGGCTTTGTCTGCCTGAGATAACCAAAAGCGGTAGAGTTGGTGTAGCCAAGAAGCGGGGCGGTGCCGGCCGGCCACGGCGGTCCAGGATGTCCCGCTGCCGCTCCGGGCTCCCCTCCCTTGTCTCTGCCCATCTGCAGCCCTTTCCCTGAAGCCAGGGCTCGAAGCAAAAATCACACCGTGTTTCGAGCCAGCTTGGCTTTTGGAGACACTGCCACCTCAATGCCTCGTTCTTTCCCAGCAAAGGGGATTTAACGCTGCAGGTGTTTGCTCCATAACCTTCGCCGTTATGTAGACGTGTCCTCTGTGAACCTGCAGCGGATCGGAGGGGCTTCTGACTGCTCGCTGGAGCCAGGGGCAGCCCCCCCAAACTCTCCCCGTAATCTGCGGGTTGATTCAGTGAGGCTGGAGGAGACTTGGCAGAAAACTTTGATGTATACAGTGCTCAGTTCAACTCTGACTGCTCCCCAATACAGGTCAGCGTGCTGGCTAAAGATCTGAAACCCCCAGAGAGGTCTGGGCATATTTCATTGAGCGGCGATCTCGTATCCTGCCACAGCGTTTGATCCTGTCTGGAAAGCGTTTGGTTTCAGCTCCTGGGTTTCTAGACTGAAAAAACCCTGCACGGAGCGAGGAGACGGGGAAATTGCCCCTCCTAGAAGCCATCGGCACCCAAATGCAGTGGCCAGGAGGGCACGGTGGGTTTGCTGGAGTTTAACATCCAGTTTTATTTGCCTCGGGATTTTTATATTCTAAAGTTTATCTGCCAAATCAAGCCATCCTTTTAATACGAGCAGTAATTAATCTTCCTTTGTCCTAACTCTTCAGGCCAAGTAGTCCGTTCACTTACCTATCCTAGTGCTCCTGGGACTAGAAAGGGAATTTTGTTGTCTGCTGATCCAGTTTAGTTTGTTTCGAAGAACTTTAGATTTCCCCTAATGTTACACCCCAGAGTATTTTGACCCCAAGTACACAGCAGTATGTGATGGGTGTGCAGGAAGAAGGCTGCATTGAGGCTTATTTCCCTTACACTTGAGCCTTTTTTTCCTCCCCATCAAGGGAGCAAGTGACATCCGAAGCACTTTGCATTCAGTGCAGGGAACTGATTTTTGTCTCCGAGCAGCCCCGATGCTGATGAGGTGCTCAGAGAATTTTCTTTGTTGAAGAAAACAGCAAGCTCTTTTCATTTTAAGGAAGCGGTTGCTTTTCAGGTTAATTGAACTGTTGTTTCAAAAACCTTGGCTTTGCATGCTGAGCGGTGTGGGAAGGGCTGGTGGCAGCAACTGGTAGAAAATGCCTGGGGGGAGAAGGACTTCCTAGCTAAAATGTAAGCTGAGTTGTCACAGCCACGGTGATCTTCCAGAGACGTACCGGTACCAGTTCCCTGCGCTCGAATCCTGTGAGGTTATACCCAGAAAATGGCAAAATTGACTCAAAATATATAATGCTTGGGTTTTCGTTGCGTGCTTCTGGGTTTTGGAGCTCTGGTGTTAACTTGGATCGATGGAGAGGTTTAGTGAAGGCTGAGCTGCTCCCGTATTAATATGACTGCACAAGCTGGAGTTTTATGAAAATACAAAATACTGTCAATTACAGTAAAAAAATACTGGCGTCACTGCTTAGAAAATGTTAGCGAGTCGTTTTGCTGATGCAAAAGGAGCTTAGAGAGACATTCTTCACCAGTTCTAATTTAAGTAAGCACATAATCCAGTATATAATTCTGTAAATCATTGCATGCCCAAAGTTATTTTGCATCATAATTTAAGGCGGTGCAGTTGCAGAATGTTAATTTTGTCTAAATAGGCTATTTTAATGTGTTTAGACATTGTAAGTTACACTTTGTAAAAGTCTGATGGGCACAATTTTTTTTTTTAAGAATGACATGTTATGATGATTTGAGGAGAACTGATGAGTGAGATCTTCGGCTGACTTGAACCGGAGTATGTCTGCACCGTTGGGCTCCTGCTTGTATATCGTACTGAAGTTCTTCCTGTTGTTTCTTCTGCGCTATGTTCTTTTTCAGGATGAATTACCTTAATAGATTTGGTAACCGAAAAATTGTCCGTGCACGTTCTCTGACAAGGATAAAGGGCAATTACTGAGGTGCAGCCAGCCTTGGGTTACGAACTGATGCCAGGCGAACCCGTACTCTGATTAGACTAGAGTAATGGCTCAGCAGCCTTCAAAAGCAAGCTGTGGACACATGCAGCGCCTTTCAGCTCACCGTATTTTGAGTTTATTTAGGCTGAATGCTCTCGCACGACTCTGAAGGTCCTGCTTCTGCAGATGGGTGCAAAGCTTCACAGATTACGAGGAGACCCGGGAAGGGCTCTGTGAGTTGAGTACATGTGTAAGGGTCTGCAAAAGCAGGGCTCGCATTGTGCTTTTTTTTTTTTTATTTAAGGGAAATTGTAACCGTACCACACACACACGCTTGTGGAAAAAAGTCACTTTGCCTGCTCCAAGGCAGGTGCTTAAGTTTAAGCACATGGGTGGCCCCGTTAATGCTAACGGTGGTACTCAAGTACGGGAAGCACATGGTTAATTGCTTTGCAGGACCGGGATCTATACGCTCTCCCCAAGGCGTTTTTCCCCAACGGTAGCACATGCCATGAAATTTTTGCAGCCCATGATGTTAAAGGTCCAAATAATAATTGCAATAAGAAGGAAGAAGTGCATATAAAAATGTTGCGAATGTATTTGCACCTTGCCAGGGCGGTGGGATTATTCCTTATCCTGGGCCTTTTTGTTTGCTTTTCAGTTGCTGCGATCATGGCTGTGGGTGGGCTTCTTCTCTGCGTGCTGTTGCCTATCCGAGCCTAACATGGTCAGTGTTCCCACCTGTGCTGGCTCCTATTTCGTGTCCTCCCTCCATGTTTTCTGTGCACAGTCTGCCTCTCCTTCCCTTTCTTGTATTGGCCTGGAAATCGCTTTCTCATCCAGTCTCCGCACCCAGCTTGTCTAGCTCAATAACTGGAAATAGCGTGACCCGAAGCAGAGCGTGTCTTCAGCAAGAGCAGGGGTCCCAGGGGGAAAAAAAAAAAATAATAACGGATGTGTTATGCTGTAATCGATCCAGACACCACACCGGCCATGTCATGTGTCAGAATAAAACATCACGTGTGCTGGACACTTCATCAAATTCTGCTTCTTGTCACCAGAAGGGCCTGGGGGAAGTCATTTGCCCCCAGAAAGGAAGCGGGGGGCAAGTGGGAGTGGAAAGGTATTTAGCGGCATGTAACTTGCATGTCAGTGAAACGAACCGTATGTCATCGACATACATGTCAATGTACGACCTAACGCGGCAATGACATGATGCCGTTCGCCAAGGATATGCTCCAGCAGCGTTGGACATATCTCTGCGGGCGTCGAGAGGTGCGTGTCCGTGCTGCATGCTGCCCCGTTCTGCCACCATCTGGGCTGCCTCACTGGTTTCTGCTCTCTTGTCCTGTCTTTTCTAACTAGTCAAAGGAAGGGTGATTTGAATTTCTCTTGGTTTGACTGGACGTTGAGTTGAGTTGCTCCCTGAAGGGAGTGTGGTTTAGGTTTCTGAATCGGCTGTGGTCTGTGCAGGTAGAGACCTTCCTAAGGAGACTGATGGTATCACCATCCCCATCAGGTAGCTGCTTGAGACCGTAGGAGCGTTGAGGCGTCCCACGTACGTTGTTAAACTGGGAAGGTTTTGCAGCATAGCTGGGCCAGAGGTGGGAAACTCTTCTGCTGTGTTTTCTGGGGGATGCTGAGGGCTTTGCATGGTGGTAGCTGGGTCACGGTGCAGTCCTTGACCGAGGGGCACAGCAGTCACCAAGGTGAGCTGGGTTTGGGTGCTCTGGTGCCCTGTTTTGGATCTGACAGAGGCCTGGACCAGGGAGGAGGTTGCAAATGCAAATCCTAAAGGCCCTAAAGCAGCAGACTTCCCCCCCGCCCCGTTGAAGCATTTTTTATTTGGTTTTTGTGACTTCTGAGTGCTGAAGAGCAGCGTTAGCAAGCAAGGATGCTCAGCTCCAAGTGTTCAGCTGCAAAATGTTCTTCTGGTACATGCGGTCATTCCTGCGAGCCACTGCTTTGGCAATGATTGCGGTAAAACAAAACCTCCCGGTACTTCTGTTGTCTGTCGTAGCGGTGCAACCAGTGCACAATCAATCCCTCGCTGGGAGCCATGCTTCAAATGTACTCAGCAAGGCCCCCAACCAGAGAGCGGCAGCGACGGAAAAATACTTCTCGGAGACTGGGAATGGAGTGGATGGCTACGAAGAAGAAAGATCCATAGGGAAAACTTGGCTGACCTGGAAAACACCCTCTGCAAGTTTTCTCCTAAGCTGCGGAGAGACTAACATGGCAGCAAGCTGGGAGGGGGAAATGGAAAAAGTGACTTCAAGGCACAGATGCCGTTGACTCTGCTATGGGAAGGCACACGAACCTCTTTAGAGAGATTTATGGAGATCACTTCAGCGGGAGCTTCCTGCGAGAGGGGGAAATGGTCTTGTTTAAATTCTTTTTAATTGTTCGGGCGGTGGTTTAGGAAAGCGGGGAGTCATTCAGTGCGAAGGCGGGGAAAGACTAAAGGCTAAAAATACCGCCGCTGGAATTGTGAAACTTCCTTTGTAAGGCGGCCAAGTTACTGGGAGGTCGAAGGCAAGGTCGCATCGTGTAGAAGGGACGGCAGTGGCTGGGAAAGCGGCTGAGAAGATGGTGAGCCTGCAGCCCTTAGGAAGGGGACCTGCCCTGGTTCCTCTCAGGCCGGTCATCTGGTGTACCTTTGAACCGAGCCAAAGGTCTTAGCTTGTCGTCTCAAGACCTCCTGCTGGTCTTTTCATCCCCTTCTCCAAATTAGAGGACTTTGAGAGTAGATGGAGGAGTTGAAGAAGTCAGATTCCCAGCCTGCATGGCTTGCTCCAAGTGACTCCAGGTGAAAGTTTGGTCCGGTGCAGTGGAAGTGACTCTTTACGGACATCAAAAAAGCAGGAGGAAGGTCAACAGAAAAATGAGAAGCAACTACCAGTATAAAAGCTGTTTGTTTTACACCAATCCTTTGAGTATTCCCTCGTGTGGTGATCCCGAATATATTCTAGAATTGCAGGCAGCAAAGGCGAATGCTGAACATGGATTAAAACGTCGCCAGAGGTAGACTTTTGCCTCTGGCTCTCAGTATCGGTGGTGTTTATCCGGAATGAAAGTATTTGCTGAACAAGTTATTGTCTCCACACATGAGTTTGAGGCGACAGGATCTTGGCCAGATGGACGGATCCATGTTTGTTTGTTCCTCTGGGTGGAACACGGTCCTGCCCTGCAACACGTAGGCAGCCTTATTGCTTTAACATCTTGGAATAAGTAGGCTGCAATGAGTGCTAACCCTTTGTAAACAACAACCTTGAGGTCCTCGCAAACCTCCTCTAAAATGACGACTCGAGATGCATTGGATGCATTCCTCAAAATTGATTTATTATAAAAAATGTGCTTCTGAGTGAAGGTCTCGCCCCTGAAAAGCAAGTGACGTTTTGTCTCTGTTTCAGAGAAGCACACCGAGTTCATTTATCTCATATTTAAGAGGTTAAATACATGGATAAATCTCTGCAGGACCAGGACGGGAGATTGCGTGTGGCTTCAGGGCACAAGCCGTTCGCTGGTACAGACCGCACCTGGCAGGGTGAGGTCCCTTTCCTCATCGGGGATGTCTACATGCTGTCCCCGCGTACGTTTCCAGTAACACCTTGGCTGTGTGCTGAAATGCTTTGGCCTGTGCCTCTAAAACAAGTATGTAAAGGCTCTCCCACATCACTGCCTGTGGCTTGGGTGTCCCCGGTCCAGCTCCACCGTCCCCTGGCCGTGTCCTGCCTGGGTTGTGACCAGAGTCCCAGCTGCGGAGATGGAAACTCCTTCCCATGGGCATTCTGTGGGTTTTGGGCTGCCTGGGGTGGCTGAGGGACAGACACAACATACCTCCATCGGTCCAGGGCCACCAAGCATCTTCCTGCTTCGGTTCTTGAAGGATTTTTCTCCATGAATCGGCTTCTGCCATGCGAGGCAGTGGGCATTGGTTTCCCAGCTGGATCCTTCATCTTTCTACCTGTCCGTTTTATATTTTATAAACCTATATAGGGATCATTTTACAACTTCACTTTTATAATCTGCTCCATAAATATTTTACGAGCTGCCTGCCAATCTGCAAGTAGTTTTTAAATAAGACATGATGCGTTAAGAATATTTAAAGTCTCACTTTTTTTTTCCTCTGATACTTTTATTGAAAAACACCGAGCTGTGCAAGGAAGACATCTGCTTTCTAGATACAGAAACTGGGACAAATCCACAACAGGAGTAAATGAGTTGAGATTCAGGTGTACTGCTGAATTACATTAACTCTTTGGCTGAGTATCTCTAGCTCAGTGGGTGATGAAGCGAGCGTCAGGATCGTTACGCTTTTGCTGTACATGGTATAGAAAAGAGAAGGAAATCTGTGGTTTGTACAGTGATAATGAACTGGAGAATGAGTCTTCCATCAAGAGGCTTTTGACTTGCAGCTTTTCCAATAAATATTAAGCGCAAATGCACCTGATTATTTCACAAACAAATGGGAGCTTTTTCTTCCCCCCAAATATGTTGCAAAGCCACAATATTTAGGTACTTTTATCTGCCAGTAAGATTCATGCAGTGAATCAGGACTGTTAACCTGAAATAGCAGATTTTTACGGGATTTAGTTGGGGAAGAAAGGAGAAAAAACTGCTTGTGTGTGTTATTTAAAGCATCCGAAGGGAAGAAGTGTGGTTTAGCCCCACTCGGTGTGTACATGGCTTGTTTCTCTGTCGTTTGACAGTCGGAGTCCACAAGCTGCCGTTTCGCTTTGGCGTGGCTTGTCGAGGTTTGTTTTAACGATGCTTTGGGGATCCCAGAGCCTGATTTCCTATGCTAATGTGATGTGCTACTGTATGTGTTAACCCAGTTCGAGAGAGGGGGACAGCTGGAGCCAACTGGTTTGCATTGACCCTTTGAGCGTGCCCCTGGGCGGTAAAACATGGACTGTTGTGCATCAACGTGTGCTTGGATTGCTGGACGCAAGCGACGGCGTGTTTCCCGTTTCTCTCTCCTCCCTCTTTACGGTTGAAGAATCAGGAGATGCGGGTAGTAAAAAGGATCGTGTTAGAAAAGCTTTTATTTATAGGTGAAGTATTCCAAACCAGAGGAAGAGGAGGGCATTTGCTCTAAAAGATGGAACAGAAGAAATTTTGTATAAGTGCATTTGGTAGAAGGATGGATTGAAACCTTTGTGTATTTTTAAGAGGAAAATGGAGTTACACGCCTCAAATCAGAAGATTACTTCTGTGGAAAACTGATGTAACTTTTGGCAACTTGCAGCAGAAAAAAATGGGGTTTCCAGGAGCAGGGATTGATGCTGATACTCATATCCCTAGTTTATATACTTAAAGGGGGAGGCGGTATGTTGAAGAAGGGCAAGAATCCATTTTTACCCAGGGATTGTGAACACCAAAACATCCTTTGAAATGACCCTTACTCCCAAGGTCTCCACATACACCTAGTGCTTAGTTTTTGAGTTAATTAGGCAGAACCCCATCTCGGGAAATGGCACTGCTGCTGCTGGAGCAAGGCGACGAGCACCGACGCGGGGGTAGCTGAGCCGCCTCTCCAGGCACCTCCTTGCTGCGTGTGGTGGGTTTTGCATTCGAAGCGGAATGGTCTCAGCTTGATCGCTGCTGCTGAATTCGTGCCCTGCATGGATAGCCTGGCTGTTTACCAAGTGCGACCCGTTTATCTCCTTGCCTGTGTCCCCGGACCGCCTGTCGGCCTCCCTCCTTGTCTTCCGCACCTTGTCTGGATCCATTCCCCTGCGCTTGCACAACCTTTGCAGTCTGTTTTTGCCTCCTCTCCCCTTGGCACAGGTCTCCCCTTCTCCCCAAGGTAAGCTTGCGTGCCTGCTCCTCTTCCCCGAAGTAACCCCGGGAGCTCACATTTTTCCCCTCCTCGACCCTCCGGTGTCCAGCTCTGCTGGGGCCAGCTCCGCGGCGGTGCGTACATCCCATCGTGTTGAGGCTTTTTATTTGTAATTGCGATCATTTCACAAATCCGGTGCCAAAATCCTATAGGCAAAAGGCTGCTTGGCCCCTCGCATCCAGGCAGACAGCAGTTCCCTGTAATAGGACTTCACGCTGAGGGCATGTTTCATGCAGATGCCTATGACTGCCTCCTCCTAATTGCAGTTTTGTTTCTGCTAATCGGATGCTCCTCCTTGCTGCAAGTGATGCTGGAGTGCTCGCATCCCCCTGTCTCATAAACCGTGGGCAATGGAAGAGAAGATTCCCAAGTTTTTCACCTCTAAGTGGTTTCTTGGTAGCCTGAGGCTTTCTTTGAGGTGCGCCAGCTAGCGATCCCACTGCCCGGTGTCTGTTGCAGGTTTGTCACTCCGCCGAGCAGTGTCCCTCTGTCCATGGGGTTTGCTTTAAGGATGATCCAGTTCCTGTATCCAGTTATGATATAAGGTCTTTGGAAAGGCTGGCATGTATACATGCATCATACATACCTCATCCTATATTTTTAGATGTATATGTGTGTGTATATAGCAGTTCTCCTTGCCTATGCAGTTACCCTGTGGCTGTCTAACTGAAGCAGGTCTCGGAAGTGCCACCAAAGCAGCCAGTTAATGCTAATAAATAACATCGCTGAGAGAACCAGCGAGAAGAGCGAGGGACGAGTCGGGGAAGAGCAGCCAAAGACTACTAGGAAGATGTCCTGGGGCAGATGTGACCCCCGTATGGTTGCGGTTGCAGCTCCGTGGTAGGATCAGCAGCATCCTTGCGCTGCCTGGTGCTACCGTGGGAGCAGGATAGGTGAGGCGGTGACTGCGTGCCTTCTTCCATCTTTATCGCTGCTGAGCAAAGAGGATTGCATGGATGGTAGCTCCCCTGCATAAAGACAGGAGATGTGCAGGAAACTCCATTGGAGCCAGGAATACATAGGAGACCCTTGAAGGCAATGAGGCAACGGACTTTGGTTTTCTTAAGCCATTATTTTGCACGTGTATAAGGTGTTAAAGTTTACACAAGGCCGTTTCCTAAAGCGTCAAAATTTAAAGCTCTGTGCAAATGCCCAGTGGATGGAGGGGAGCATGCAATACATACAACGTGGTGCCTGCAAAAGCTCTGCGCTCCAGCAGATCTTGCTTCTGCGATTCGAATGTTTCATCCCATTTCCCTTCCATCGTCCTTCCTGTTCTTGCCTTTTTTTTCTTTTTTTTCTTTTTTTTCTTCTTCTTCTTAATAATAGCTGAATTAGATGTATGGTAGAGTGGAGTTTTTCAGAAGTATCGGCGGGATTTGGAAACAGACGTCAAATTGAAAATCAGTGGGCCTTGGGCCCTGAATCCCGTTAGGGAAATAGCGAGTAGTTTGATGAGCTAAAACTGGGACAGCAGCAATGGCAATGCAGCCGCTGGAGAGGTTGGATTCGTCGCTGCTCTGGGGTTTTGTGCTTCGTGTGATTAGTGCTTCGTGTGATTTGAAGTAAAGAGCAGGGTTCTGCCGTACCAGAGACAAAAACACTCTTCTGATTTTTTTTTTTTTTCCCAGGCGATGTGGCTATAGCAAGGCTAAACAAGATCCAGAAGAAGAAAAGATGCATTTTCATAACGGCCACAGTGAGTAAAGATAGAACATGTATGTATGTGGGTTTGGCTCTCTGTGGTAATGAGAACTATAACTGAGAGGGTGGGTTTTTTTAAAAAAAAAAAAAAATGGGGTTTTGCTGGTGATTGACAAAAGAGTTGTTTGTTCTGTAATTCAGTAGGTCCCCACCTGCCCCTGCCCAAAGCCCCGAGGAGAGCTGAACGTTTGAGCAGCCCGTATCTGTGCCCAGCTGTTCACACCTGAACGTTTGCGGCAGGGGCCCCCAAGCCAGCCATTTGGTTCTGTTCCTCTCCCTTTGCTGTGTGAACCAAGGCACTGTTAATTTTGCCTGATCGGCACATAACAACTCTCCGTTTTTGCGATCTGGATGCGTCGGTCCAGAATACGAGTTTGAACCCCTTGCTTCACCCCAGCCAACCCTGAGGACCAAGCCCACAACTACTCTTTGCCTTGGATACCTCTGCAGAGGCGCGAGGAATCAACGCCTACTTCTCGCTCCTAGGGAGCTTTCAGAAATGCTGTGTTAATGCCCTTATATACCAAAAAACCTCTTGCGGTGATGCTAGAAAGTACATTTCATGGTTTCTATTAGTCCTTCCGTACATCCAAAGCCAGCATTTGAAAAGCCTTCCTTCATCAAGGGATCTGGGGATGGGTAACAGCGAGATGCCTTTCGGGATAGAAAAGGCAAACGCGTCTTGAGTGAAAGTCAAATTTCCATTAGTGCTATGTAATGAAGGCAGCAGGAAGCAAATCAATTAAGAGCCACAGTGTAATGTAGCTGTCTTATTAGACTGATGAGCAGTTCTTTGTGCGAGTAGCCTTAATGATTGTCAAAACAAACTTATAATATGGATAATGAAAATACTTTTTCCCCCTCTCAAGTCCTGGAGAAAAAGCCTGCTATTGATTATATTTATACTGGTGCAACCCACAGGCTTTGTACTGCAAATATTCAGTTCTTTTCAATCTCAGTAACTCCATCTGAAATAATGTGGCCAATTGATTAGCTAATATGTGGCTGGTAGGGCATAATTTATTGCAGCTCTCCATCAACCCCCGTCCATCCAACTTGCTTTGCAAGTTGTTCCCTTAACATTTTACTTTTTGTACTTCTCCTCCTGACGTACCCCTCCCAGATCCAGAAACGGATCCTGTTGCACCAGGCCCCCGACCAGCCCGTTACGCAGCACCGAGAGGGATTTTTAGCTGCGCATCGTTCCAGCTGAGCCCTGTCGTGTGCTTTTCTAAATATGACGAAGTTGCACGTACGTCACATATAAACTAAATGTCATTTTCCAAGAATGCTATTCATTTTTCCCATAGAAATAGATTTCTGGGCTGCAATGTTTTCCAGCAAAGCAGAGTGCAAGGGACAGGAGTGTGTATTGCCCATCTTCTGTCATGCCACCTGCCGTTAATGCTCTTAATTTGCGTTTGCAGTTAAGCTGCCCGGAGTAAGGACCTACATTGACCCCCACACCTACGAGGACCCTAATCAAGCTGTCCATGAGTTTGCTAAGGAAATTGAAGCTTCATGCATAACCATTGAAAGAGTTATCGGAGCTGGTATGGAAATGCATTTCATGACCCTGTGGAGGGTTGGCTTTCTTAACGCGAGAGATCTGGGAAGCAGAAAGTGAAATACTCGTGGTGTTAGGTACCCTGCAAGTGATGGGGAGCATGGTCCGGCTGAAGTTTGGGACAAACTTGTCGTTGTCTGCGGTCTTGAAATTCAGGGACTGAACTGAAACCAGCAGAAAATGGTCACGTTTAGACCAAGCTGAGTTATTTCGATGGATGCTAAGGGAAATGAGTCACTTAATTTTCAGGTTCTTTTCACCATTTTAACTTTTTTCTCTTCCTCCATTAAGGTCAGTCTCGAAGCAAAAATTAAGAATAACAAGTCATCTGGGAGAGAAAAAAAAAGCACAGGCCAAACTCCGAAGCTTTTAACTCTTTTGGTTAAAACAATAAAGTCCCATTTTCTTTCCAGTTAAGCTGTTTGATTGGACTTGCATCCAACATTAGGATTATTTTCTGTCCTCTGAAATTGTGTTTTTGGAGGTAATTTACTCTTCACCAGAAAAAAAAAAAAGAAAAAAAAAATCCATTTGGATTACTTTTTTTAAAGTGGTCATAAAATCAGAAAGGGTTTATAGTCTATAAAAATATATGTTGCTGTGAAAGGCTAACAGCATTCCATCTATTTAACTTACCAAAGGAGAGTTAAGAAGCAAGTGGTTGTGTTTTACAGCTGTCTACACGGAACGATGATATAGGACGTGACAGGACTCTTTCATCTAGTAGAAAAAACATGAAATGAGGAAAAAACCCAATAGAATATAGAGCATAGCTCCTTAAATATACAAAAATGACGTTTTAATTCCTAGTTTTCGTGTGCTTGTGAATTACTTGGCTTGTGGTACGCCAGCTACTTGAGATGGTGATCGCTGTGATGTTCAGTTTTCCACATCCATGGATGCAGGACAGCCCTGCGTGCTTTTGATCAGCTACCTATAGGGGTTGGGCTGCGTACTGCAGACGGACACGTGCTGTGCGTTCCTTCGGCGTGCTGTGATGTCATTCTTTCTGATTTTTCTCTGAAGGCGAATTTGGGGAAGTCTGCAGCGGGCGGCTGAAGCTGCAGGGAAAGCGTGAGTTTCCTGTGGCTATCAAAACCTTGAAGGTGGGCTACACGGAGAAACAGAGGCGAGATTTCTTGGGAGAAGCAAGCATCATGGGGCAGTTCGACCACCCCAACATCATCCACCTGGAAGGCGTCGTCACAAAGAGTAGGTACAAGTTGCTGTGGACTGCTGTCCTTGAACTCTGGCTGATGGGAGAGTTGGTGTGGGGAGGAAGACTTGGGTAACTCACGGTTTGACTGCACTTTTCATTAGTTCTCAAAAACCAGCGAACTCCTCTTGCTCAAAATGTCATGCTTTGTAGGTCCGACCAGGAACAGGTTCCCCAACGTTGTAAAGGGGGTTTGTGCCCAAGGGATTTTGGTGTTCTTACAGCTAGAATGGATAGAGAATGGCTAAAATGATAAAAACACATTAACTCACTGTGCAAACATTGCTATGCATGGGCTAAGAGAAAAACCTCTCTGCAAGGGCCCCAAATTAAAGGAGACAGACAGAGGGGACAATAGGCCCGGCCAGCCCCAGGCGGTGGGTGGGCGATGGAGACGGCAGTAAGCCTGGGGTGCCTGGGTGCCGGCGGGGTGTGCTGCCTGACTTCTGCTTTGCCCGCAGTAGCACCTCCCTACCATTTTGCTCTGAAAAAATGCAAGAGCATATTGAACGCAGTGATGCCGAGCAACCCGTGAAGTTTTTCAAGCAGGCTCGCTTCTTATTCCTGCCTTTATTTGTTTATTTTTGAAACCACATGAGCCCCAGGCTGAGGAAAGATGTGCCAAGAAGTGGGAAGCAGTTTCCCTCGCAGGGAAGTGAGGAGGATTTTGCTACCAAGAGTCTGAGAAAAAAAAAAAAAACAGACCCAAACCACAACCCCTGATGATTTCCAGCCATCGTGTTTTGAGAAACCACTGAAGCAAAGCCCACAGGAGGGTAGTGCTGAGCCTTGAAGTCACTCACACGGGATGGGAGCAAAGACAGAAATTAGCTGAAGTTTTGCTTTCCAGAAGCAGAGAAGAATGGAAGTGTAGCTGAGGACGACAGGACTGTGTAAAACTACAATTAAGGCAAACTCCTTCTGAGATCTGCTGGTGATGCCCATGGTAGTAGTTGCCCCTGGCATAGAGGTTATAAGAGGGGTTGAGAGCTTGGGGAAATCGTGAAACTGCTGGCAAAACATCCAGGACAAGAGTTACTGAGGTCTGACTGCTCAGTTAGCAAAATAACCTTCCATAACTTTCCCAGCCCAATTCTTCTCCAAATTACTGTACGCACTAAACATAAGGGCGGAGGAAGGGACGGCACATCCGAATGTGCCCAGCCCAAGCCTCTCCGGCTGTTGGTGCAGTGCTGAGGCTGCGGGAAAAGTGCAGAGGTGTTGTGACGCTTCCATCTTAAAGCCTTGGAGAATCTACGTTATTTGCATCAAGGCTTTTTTGTTGTTGAAAACAATTACTCCTTTATTTTAAGATACATTTTAAGTGGTTTGGGAAGTTTTGGCTAACTAAAGAAGCAGCAGCCTCACAAGCGTGAATGGCTCTCTCCCCTCTTGTCTTCATGATCGGTAATGTCAGGGCTTAGCTACTACCGTTCAGATGCTGGCGTTCGGGGCCACGTGGCTGCCGTTAGTACCACTTGTCAGTCATCAGAGGCAGCATCTCCAAAAGTAGTTCCTTTTTCAGAGCTGCAATAGAGAAGGTACAGAGACACTAGGTGTTTGTCCTGTTCGTATCCTTAATAACCTGCTCAAAATCAATGCTATTTTGCAATCAGCATTCTTCTCTTGAATTTTTCCTTTTCCTAAAACTTCTAAGAGGCAAAAAAAATAAAACAGCCAAGATAGGTTTCTCCCGAAAACTGAATAAATACCAAAATCTCTCAGGGTCACCTTGTGTAACCCTTAATAGGTAACAGCTCCCCGTTCTAGCCCTGCAGGAATGTGGGATATTGGGCAGGACGCGAGTGACAATTATACATCCATAAAAGCTGCTGCTGCTGACACGGGCTTGAGTCTTTCTGGCTGCCGGGGCCTCAGGGGATGGGGTGGGAATCCCGCTTTTAAAGAGGATGTGCCTCCCCAGGGAGCTGCCTTTTAGGTAGAGTGGCCATCTGCTCCAAAGGCCGGGGAAACGCTGGGAGCTTGGCTTCTAAATTGGGCTTGGAGCAACGGGAGTTGGGATGCAGGGGGGTACGTGCACCCTGAGCTCCTCGTTAGCTCACTAAATGCGTGTTTACTGCACTCCAAATTTTTTCCATCGAGCATCTGGAGCATCTTCCCGGCTTTTTTCTTTTCTTTTAAATGGACCAAAACGACCTTTATGAATCGCAAACTGTGCTGCTGTCTCAAAGTATTGTTTAACTTCTTTTTCCCTTCAGCGTTTTAGCCACCGGCCTATCGTAGATTCAGATCTGTAGGGTAAAATGTCTTTGCTGCATCATGATTTACTTTGGAAGTAAATTAAGTTAAATTGAATTAGCCCATTTTTAATTCTGAATGAGAATATCCGCTTAGGGGCTTAATACCATTTAACTAATCTAGTTCAAATGCACACCTTAGTTAATTTGGATTAATCGTCTTCGTTGTCCCCATGCAGACAAGCCCGTAGCTATTTCTGCTTTGCAAAGGTAATGACACAAAGGTAACGGTGGTCCTGTTTTCGTTCGCGTCCCGTTTCGGTTGTGCTGACGGTGTGCACGTTGCGTTGGTACATTGATAGGAATGACATCTACACACATCTTATGGCCCCGTAATGCCAGCGGGAGGGAGCCCTGCTGACACGGAGAATCAGCCCGGCACTTTAGAAGGGCCGATGTTTACTTTTCATTTACTTTGTTGAACGGTACTCTATTTGTGTCTTTATTTCCATGCTCTTGGATACGGGGCTAATTTATTCCACGATTACTGTCAACCTGCAGCAGTCAGATAATGAAACATAAGAACCAGAAATCTTATTTTCTTTTCTCTGGTGGCAACCAAAGGCAGGAGTCTGAAGGAGGTCCCCCAGGGTGGTGGCATAACGAGATGCCAGTCTCGCTGCAACGCTGCTTTGGAGTGTCAGAGATAAGGGACCCCATGCTACAGTTGGGGGGTTTAGTGTTTCAAAACAAAAAATTAAAAGAAAAAAAAATTGAGATATACCTGGGATTTTCCTTCCTTGCATGGCCACTGACGTGTTTGCCAACCTATAGCAACATCACCTGAGATCTCTCCTCCCTCCTGCATGCAGCCCGTGTTGTGCCAAGACAGACAGCTGTCATCCTTGAAGATGGGGCCTGTTATTTTGTTTGAGGCTCAACGATATTTTTCATGGCCCCGAGGTGCACTTCTCATATCGAAACTAATATTTTTGGCAAGCTTCGAGCTCAGGCAGTAGCTGTGATATTAACTTAAAAGAATTGAAGCAGCGCAGGTCCCTCATGCTGCCAAGATAGTATCTGCACAACCAGGAGTGTTTGGATTGACAAGTTCACCATTACCTTTATTATGTGGATAATTAAGCAGTAAATTAGGCAAATAGTTAAGGTAGCAGGAAAGTGGGAAGATGAAGATGAGTCTAAATGGTAGAACATGCGCCGATTTTTAGGGGCATTTACCTCCGTGTGCATGTTATGACATGCAGCAGCTCTCGTTGATCATTTCTATGAAAGACATTTATAATACACTTTACAAATAATTGACAGCTCCTCTTTGTCTGTGCTTCATGCTAGCTAATGGAAATTGATTTAAATAAAAAATAATTTACATGTTCTTATAAGATTTCATTGAATTTACAAGGGCTGGAGCACACCACATTAATTATTGCTATGTCATTGTGGCAAGCTAGCGAGAAATTAGATATAAAAACGGAGCAAAAACTATATATAATTACCATTAAAATGACTCAGGCATGAAAATTAATCAAATGGATTTGGAAAAACATTATTATTCCTGTCAACAGTAGGAGACCAGGTCTTTTGTTAAGAACTTTTATTTTGATTTCCACTCGCACTCACTCCTTACTTAACTCTCTTTTGTTCTGCAGCATAAATATTCCTTTTCTTATTTCCAGATGTGTTTACAAGGGTGGTCACACAGGATTACTTGAATTACAAGGGATGTCGTCTCATCCTTTCCTGGTCTTGGTTTTGATGGTTACCAAGCTCAGATACATACTTCAGATCATCCCGGTTGCTCCTCTTGGGCTCCCGTTGTTCCTTCGGGCTGTCGAAGCTGTAGAGAAGAGCCCAAAGAGGTCCCTGTGTGCAGTTGGGTCTCTGCAAGCTTTCAGCTTGTTCACGGAGACGAGGAGAAGGTTGTGCCTAGATTGCCTGTGTTCAGCTTGCAACCTCTTCCGCAAACATCATCTAAACACTCTGGGGCTTGATACCCCACCCATCATAGGGGTTGCTTTTTCACCCTCTCCCTTTCAATTCCCCAATTTCTACATATATTCTGGCAAAAGCTGTTGTCATCCCACTGGGGCAGCAGTGTCTCGGTGTAGATTTACTGTTACCTGGCTGTATATTCACATTCAGAGGCATTATAAAAAGACTTTATTATTGTTCGTGGTTTTTAAATAAATCGCTAACAAACTCGTGCACTTGTTTTTTCCCCCCCCAGGCAAACCAGTAATGATAGTGACTGAATACATGGAGAACGGTTCTCTGGATACATTTTTAAAGGTAATACTTAGATCCTTTTTCCAGGGGGATCTCGGTTAAAGTTTGGGTTCCTTGTGGATGGTTAATAGCAATGAAAATGTTTGCTGGGTGCTGGTCCAGCTCTTGGTGCCGTCCGGAGGCAGGAGTAGCTCAGTTGTCTGTTTGATGTGTATTTATACAGCATCATGAAGGACCTGATGCTTGCATTGATGCAAACAGATATGAAGAAATTGGAGGATATTATGTTTATTTTAGAAGGCAGTCTGCTGCATGGAAATGATTAACTTATCTTGCAAAATTTGCTGTGTTTCAAGAGCGCACCCGCACTGCATCATGGCAAACCCCAGACCTGTCAAGAGTTTTTCTGTGAAACGTGAGAGCTGGAGAAGGGAGGATGGGGGAAGTGGTTAGAAATGTGGTGTGGCAACCTGGGGAGGAGCCCCTACCCCCAAATATTCACATGGGAACCTCTCCAGGTAGGATTTCCATGCATCTTGGTGCCATTGAGTTGACTGACATGGAGACAGCCCACCCCGGTGCCTTTATACACATAACTACGTGCGTTCGCTCCCAGCCGCAGTCTTTTTATCAGTCACCAGTGGAAATAGCTCGCTCCTTGATCTCCAGTTAAAAGAACTACATTTCCTTAACTTTGTCTCTAGAGATCCTAATCCAAACAGTGAAACTTCGAAAAGCTTCGTGGTCGGAGCATGAGAGTAATGAATTATTAATTTCCTTGGTTTTCTTCCCTGGAGACTTGCCTTTGCATTTTTATTCATGCACAGGCAATGCTGAGGGTGCAGAGACTCTCAGCTCATCAGATGTCTCCTTCCTTTTGCAGAAGAACGATGGGCAGTTCACGGTCATTCAGCTGGTCGGGATGCTGCGAGGCATCGCGTCAGGAATGAAGTACCTGTCTGACATGGGTTACGTGCACCGAGATCTGGCTGCCAGGAATATCCTAATCAACAGCAACTTAGTCTGCAAGGTGTCAGACTTCGGCCTCTCCAGAGTCCTAGAAGATGACCCCGAAGCAGCCTACACAACCCGGGTGAGTTACGAGGATACCGAACTGATTGAGCTCAAGAAAAACGTATTCCCTGCCACGTTTTGGTGTTCACGCTCTCTAGCAAAGAGGTTTCTACAAATCCGGAACCCCTAAACTGTCCCCGATGGTTTGGCCAGGCGTTACCAGTTAATTGTTATCAGATCAATTTTGCAAATGCCTGTGACTTTGTAGTGGGGATGGTCAAATCAGGCAGAACTTAACTCATAACTTTTAAGTTCATGTTGGGCACTGGGGTCAAATAGCAAACTTTGCAAAGGTGCCACGCTCCCAGCTCTATTCTGTCCTCTTGGGGGAATACCGAAGGAAGAGCAAGAGCAAGTGCTTTGCTTAGGCACTCATGCAGAGGTGTAAGCCATGGTCTTCTGGACAATTTGACCCTTTTAAAACATTGGTAAGCATGTAATGCCCCTTGCAAATAACACAGATTGCCCTGTTGAGGGTAATTTCCCCCAACATGAGAAAGAGCTGCTCCAGCCTCACTGCTCAGCCCCTTTCTATCCTTGGTCCATCCTTGATCCATCCATCCACGTGGCCCCAGCACTGCGGAGAGAGGGTGGACAGGACCCATCCTCAGCAGCACAGGCTCGGAGAGAGCCTCCAATATTCATGACAGTGATTGGCACGCCTGCACATGTCCTATTAGCGTGTTTTTCCAAGGGTATTGTTTTACGGATGGTGGGAGCTCTCTGGGTCGCGTTCCCAGTTCCTGGGGAGATCTGGGAAGGATCTTTCAGCTCTTGGCAGCCACGGCCCCGTGACGGGACTCGGTGCACGGCTGGACCGGAGCATCCCTGCAGATCGGAGGGCTCTCGGCCAGCCCTGCTGCGGCTGCAGTGGGCTGCCAGGAGCTAATTGGCACTGCTGGGAGTGTGGCCCCTCACTTAAGGCATGCGCTGATAAACCTGTGAATAAATAATTATTAGAAGAAAGGACTTTTTAAAATTGGCTTTGAAAACGTGTTCCAAATTCTGCCTTTTTCCGATAACAAACCCTGTTAGGGGGCATTCAGGGAGACCTTCCAATATTTAGCTCAACACTGAGAGGAAGGCACTTTGCAGTAAAATATATTTTGATATAAATCAAGGGAGACAACTCTTTAAACCCATTGAGAAAAGTATTCCTTAATCCAAACTCCCCTTTCCCTCCCCTCTTCCTTCTCAGAGCTGGTCTGAAGTTTGATTTCTAAAACTGTAGAAAGGGGAAAAGGAAACAGCAAAGCACATTTGACAGCTGTGGCATCATTTTCAGTCCCACGGCAGAGGCCAGGCAGCCTGGTCTTGCACATACAGATTTCTCTACCCGCTACGCAGATACCTCTGCAAGATCAGGGCCGCATTTAAAAAAAAAAAAAAAAAAAAAGAAAAAAAGGACATTACTTCTGCAGCAATTTGCATGAAGCCCTCATTAGATCAAAGTCTTCCTCGGCTTCAGACCTGTCTGTTCCTCCCCCGCTCGCTCTCAGAAACGGAGGAGCTGTATTCCCCTACCAACCCGTGCAACATAATTGAGATGTTGATCCTATACATGTCCCGGCATTCAAACAGCATTCAGACAACAAACCTTCAGGACAGCCAATTAGTAGGCAGCCTACAAATGCTTATGGGCTGAGATAATGTGGAAAGGGGCCCCATGCTGTCAAACAGATTTACTTTAAAATTCGATGTCTCTTTCCAGAGAGAAAATAACATCCCTCGGTGCTCTAAGAAGTGCTGTTTCGTCCTCTTTTACGTGTTCTCTGCCCTCCTCTGCAATCTGATTTTTAGGTTTTTGGTTTTTGGGGTTTTTTTTCCCCTTTTCCTTCTAGGGAGGGAAGATCCCCATCCGATGGACAGCACCCGAAGCGATCGCCTTCCGCAAATTCACATCGGCCAGCGACGTCTGGAGCTACGGCATCGTGATGTGGGAGGTGATGTCGTACGGCGAGAGGCCTTACTGGGAAATGACAAACCAAGATGTAAGCACGTGCGAGAGCTGCCGCGTGATGGGACTTGGAGGGCTCAGCGTTCGTTCTGCAGTCGGAGAGGCAGGATGGGGACAAGGGGAGGAGAGCTGCTGTTAAAACGGCTTTGCTCCCCAATGCCAGACAAAACCGATGCTCTTGTTTGATGCTCTTTTTTTGCAGCAGCAGCCTAGAACGGGCTGTGCGCAGAGGGGAATGTGTCTGCAAGCCTGCTTCCCCCAGCAGACCGCTGGAGCTTCGCTAATGCTGTTAGAGCTGGAGCCTGTCCCTTCTCTGCCTAATGACAAAGGTCTGCCAGGGGATGGATGCTGATAAACTGGCAGCATTTCAGTGGTGTGTTCAAACCCCTGCCACCACGTAAGGCAGAAACTCGAGAGAGTCACAGGAAGGGCTTTGTTTCCCTGCACAAAAGCTGGGTGATTTGATCTAGTGACGGCAGTCCGGAGAGCTGCGTCTCGGTTCCCCTTGCGTTTCTGATCTCGAGAGCATACTTTTGCTCCTGTTGTGACCATCTTGTAAGTCGGTGCTAACGCAAGCTTTCGTGGTTTGTTTGTATAGCACCCTTCGAGTTGTGTCGCCTTGCTCCTGGGCCCCAGTGTCCCCTTGAGCCCCTGACCTCAAGGCCACCCTCTGAAGCATCTCCAAACAGGGAGATGCCTGGGGACACTGGCTCCCTCCTGAGTGCAGCTCTGATCCCAGCCTAAGTAAGGCTGTCTTGATCCTACTGCAGGGCTGCCTCCTACCCTGAACTCACCATAAACATCTGTCCTTGTCTAAGGCTAAAAAAATTTAAGCCTGGGGTTGCCAGATTTTCTAGACTTCTCTTTCCTCTTCACATCTTTGAAGAGCCATGGTGTACGAAGGTCTCTTGAGATTGCCAGCTAGTGCATAAAGTCGGGGTCATCGTGAGGCACACGGGGCCCCCAAAGCAGCTCTGCGCTGGGGGGTGAAAACGCATCACTCTGCTTTTGGCAAACGGAGTCGTTCCTCATCCCTCCCGCTTCATCACTGCAGCCCTGCCGCCTGCGGAGATGCTGCTGCCGGCTGGGCAAAGCAAACGGGTCCTTGCTCCGCTGTGGTTTTCCTCTGGTCACAACACTTGACGTGTCATCCTTTTTTTTTTTGTTTTTTTGAGCAGCGTCCCTGTCACCGTGACTTTAACTGCTTCACTGGCAGCAAAGGCTCTGGCAGAGCATTCTGTTTCTCCTGTGTTTTGGCTGTGGTCCTTTGCCACCGGTGGATGTTACTACCTGTCACACCGAGCTGCTCTCTCATCTCGCTTTGAGTCCAGGTGTGGAAATGAGCAGTAACTTTGAGACGGTCACGCCGTGCTTCTTGCCAGGGAGATGAGCACGTTGTTTGGCATGAATGCCCCGCTGCTTCTGCACTGCTGAGGCTGTCACGTTTGCAGGGAGCTTGGTAAAGCAGTATGTATCTACGCAGGGATTTATCTCGATCAAATACAGAGACTTTCTTCCATAGCCTGTGCAGAGAATGCAGCGATTGAGAGCCAAGCTTTGTCGGTCACACTGAGCAGCGTTACTATCTTTAGTGCCAATGCACTGGCGTAGCACAGATGTTGTTCAGTAAATGCCAGGCTGGTGCCAGTGAAATAACGCCCTGTGGGCAGGGGAGTCCCTTGCCTGGATCCTAACGCCGTGAACATCCGCACTTCGCAAAACTGTTCTGAAAAGCTCAGATGCCTCCGTGCAGTGTGGGGCACAGGGTGAATTTCCCACTTGCCTGAGAAGCAGCGGATGGGGAACTGGTTGCTTTAGCGGCAGAAAGCAGAGGACTGGTGAGATGTTTATGAGCATCAGTTCCTGCTCAGGCTTTGCTTGGGTTACCTCTGCCTACATGTAGGTGACAAATGCCTGGATGGTGGTGGCCTAGGAAGCTTAATTCAATGCTGTGGCGTGTTTCTCCTGCAATTTATGCCTTCCTCCTTGCATCTTCTGAAGGCCTCCTTTTCTTCTTTCCTCCCCTGCTTGTGTTGCAGATGAATCAGTGGTGTTAGATACGGCATTGGCTTTTGGGCGGATGACCAGAGGGCTCTGCTCCCATGAATTTCAGGCTGGGTTGCACAGGATTTTCTTGTTGCATGGCTTGTAATTAAAGCACATCGTTTGCAAACACAGTCAGTGATGAGCAAAACAATTCTCACCGTGTTACAGCCGGATTGCTTTAAAGGAGGGGCAGTGCTGTAGGGCAGGCAGCGTTGTAACTGTGCAAGGGCTACAAACCACGTTTTAAAGTCGTGCTGGTTTCTGGATGGCCTTCTAAAAATATGTTTTGACTCGACCACAAGATAAGGCTTTGATGCAGGAATTGTTGAGAGGAATTTTGTGGCCTGTGTTACACAGGTTGCTAAGCTAAATGATCACAGTGGTTGCTTTTCAGTCTTCAGACCGGTGGTTTTATGAAAACACAGAGCTAAAAGTGTTGCTTTGGTTTACTGGAATAGACTGTCCCAAATCATCCGCTCCCAAACATCCAGTTCAGTCACCTCAATCCGTGAGTGAGTGGTGCTGGACCAGAAAAGGAATAGGGACAAAAATGCCTCCTTATAGGTGCAAATTTTAGCTCTTCAAGTCTTACAAAGCAGTAAACACCAAGGAATGCAACACTGAATGTGCCATTTTCTTATTTTCTAAGTATTGTGGTGGCTACGAGTGACTTGGTCTTTGTTTTGTTTCATTCTTTTGCTCCTCTTATTGCCAGACCCGCAAAGCACCTTCAGGTGCAAGAGCGTATTTCAACGTCCTAGCCCCTTGCAGTATTTTGATACCATTTACATTGTATCGCCAGAACGAACGACATCCTCTACATTGAGTTAACGCTATCGATTGTGATGTTACTGCCAGGAATATCAAACGTGCATAACCCCATTGCAGATGTAGTTCAGATATTCTGAGCTGGTGCCAGATGGTCTGCTCCCTGTCTTGCTACTATTTGCTTTCTGCTACAGCTGGAGGATGATCCGTTAATGTTATAAATACAGACACGGACACAGCAAATAACAGTCTTGTGGCTGTGCCACACTGAGGCTTTTTTTTCATAGGGCAGCTGCAAATTTGGTATCGGGGACCAGCTGAAAAGCATGATCTGAATAACAGAGAGCGCAGGTAGCTCAGTGTGGTGGGACTGGTTTTCAGAGCTGTGAGCAAAAGCCAAGCCATAGAAGAGATTGCTTTGGGTGGGTGGGAAGCGGTGCAACTGCTCTCCCGGCAGATGAAGTCTTAGATGGGCACAAAAGGACTGCAGGTCTTGTGGGCCAGATCTTCTCTACCCTTGGAGAAGATTATAAACCCTCACCCAACTTCTGCTCTGCTACACATGTCCTTGGGGAGTTTGAGGTTCATGCTACTGCTGCTCAGCCGGCCCGGCTCATTCCTGGGACTCCTCCAGTTGGCAAAAAGCCCGGTGGTGGAGAAGGATTTGACAGGTGATCCATGCGGTCCTGAATTTCAGAGCCTTCTGAAAGGCAGTGCCAGCCTGATGTGGCTCTTCCTGTCCTGCTCATACGGGGACCAAAGACCAAGAGGACAACTTCCATGCTAACCACAGAGCCTTCTTTTTAAACACGGGATGTTTTCAAATCATGAGACGGTGCCTAGAATGAATGGCATCTGAGGCAGTCCTTGGAGTCCAACAGTGAGTAGCGGGTGTGAAGATGGGCTGCTGAGACTCTCTTGGCACGGTCACAGACCCTTATGGCTTGAAACACGAGCTGCGTTCTCCTGAAAATTTTAATGGTTCAAAATGGGAACTGCTGGGCTTGGAGCTGTGCTGTAAATCTGGCCCCAACTAGAGAAAACAATTTGCTTTCTTCAATTCTACCCTCATTTATTCGTTTCTGCCTTTCAAGAGGGCAGGCAGCACATGTGCGTACCGCTTGTTTTAGATACAGAGCCATAGATGGTTTGTATTTGAAATCAGTGCAACAACCCTCCCCTGGTTTTAATTTACATACTCTTGGGCTGAGATTTTAAATTCCTGGCAGAAATGTGGCCACACTAAGAAACGACTAGACCCAGACAGTATTGAATGATATATGAGATGGTTGTTCTGCCTCTGCCTTGAATCCATCCATCAATTAGCATTCAAAGTCTCTTTTGAAATGCAGTCAGACTTTTATTACTGTAATACAAATTTGTGGTCTAGCACATGCCTTTTCATTTAAAAAGCAGCCAACATCTGAATAAACAAAATCACTGCGCTCCAAGAAGATGCCAGGAAGCCCCGTAGGCTGCTTTTCGTGGACTTAGGGTAGGCTCCGGGAGTTTCCTGGTACATAACCTACAGACCTCGGCTGAGCTTTGAACTTGTGCAACCTGACAGTCTGGCCCCCTGGTTGCACCGGTACCTTGGCTTTCTAGATTCATTTTGCAGTGCCCAAAAATTAAGGTCTTCAACCCATCCCGTAAAAAAGATGAAAGCTTAGTGGAGTTTACGCCTCTTGGGTGCAGAGTTGGGGGGTGGGGGGATTTTACGTGAGCGTACTGCTGGTCCCAAAGTTCTCTCTTGAAGTCAATTTGCATTTGGGAAAAAAGCAAGAGGAAGAAAAGGAGCCCGTCAGCCTTGTGTTTTGTCTCCCGTAGGTGATTAAAGCCGTGGAGGAAGGCTATCGCCTGCCAAGTCCCATGGACTGCCCTGCTGCTCTCTACCAGCTGATGCTCGACTGCTGGCAGAAAGACCGCAACAGCAGGCCCAAGTTTGACGAAATTGTCAGCATGTTGGACAAGCTCATCCGTAACCCAAGCAGCCTGAAGACGTTGGTTAACGCATCGAGCAGGTACAAACTGGGGCCAGAGCCATTTCTCAGCGCGAGATCTTTGTCTGAATACCCCCGCCCCTGGGGTGGAATCACCACGTATTACTTAGCCTGCGTGCATCCGCCGGCGGGTGTTCCTCCAGCTTCGTTACGTCCAGGGGAGCTTTCCCAAATCAACTTTTTCCTTTGTAATGGGCAGGCAGGTGAGCAATTCGGTTACTCTATAAATGCAGTGCTGATGCCACAAAGAAAATTACTGTGGCCTGTCTTTCAGAAATGGAGATTTCAGCGGTATTTGTAGGTCTATGATAAAGCTACCTAGGCTCTACCCCAAGGTTAGAAGAGGGCAAGACTTGAGTGCATGAATTAGACAGTAAATGCTGCTCAAATTATCTGCCTGTTGATTTTATCTTGTCATACAAATGAA